TATATATATATATATATCTGTGAATCAGCAGCGTTAAAGCACTTGTGTTTCACTGATTGTGCTCCTGGTTGATGAAGTCAGGGCTTTACTTTTTACTTTCACAGGGGTTCGCAAGGCCTTCTTGGATGTAAGAAAACTATTAAAAAATATATATAGTTGGCTTATATCAGCATTTTGTTAATGTATGCAAAGAAAACTGAAATAAATTGTTATTTTAAAGTTTAGATATTTATTTAAGATCTAAACTTTGAAGATCTGAACACAGTGTAGATTCACAGAGCTTCAGTCTCTGATCAACAGCCTCGTTCTGCACCAGAAAACAACCAATGAGAAGAAAACACTGAATTTGTCAAAAAAGAAGAATATTAAGTCTGTATGATTTTAAAAAAAAAAATAAAATAAAAAATATAGACAGATAATTGTGTAAACAGGAAATAATCTGCTCAGAATTCATCAAAATCTGTTTTTACACAAACGTCCTGCAGTTACTGAGTTCACTGTTCAGTTTATCAGCTCTGCTGTTATTGTTGAATAGAATATAGAATATAGAATATAAAATATACATAAAATAAGTCACTTGAACACACCACAGAAACCAGTGTGAGGAGCCAGCCGGTTGGTGACAGACGCACACGCCCTGAAATAATAACGAGGAAATAACTAATCAGAATTTAAGAGTGGAAGTTGAACAAAAACTCAAACCGCAGAGACCGAACATTACGTCACAACAGTTCAAAACGTGCCAAACTGAGCCAGTTAAAAACTAAACTCTGCTGATGAACATTCAGGAACTTTATTATATTTGGATGCGTCTGGTTGAAGAAGAACAGGTGATTAAAGTAATTCAGCAATCTTTAGTATTTACTGTTTGTCTTATTCTAGATTCATTTAAGACACTAAGTCATGTTTGCTGGTTGCAGCTTCTCAGATTTGAGGTTTTTCAGCCTTTTCTCTGTTTTATATCTGAATAAGAGTGTAAGAAAATATCGAAAAATATCGTATCGCAATATTTGATGTTGTGATATTAACTCTTTAACTCTTTAATTCAGATATTATTCATATAGTGTTCTTTATACGATGATAAATATATCAGTATATTATAATAAATTGAATCTTCCTGTATCGTATCTACAGATTCTTGAAAGTGAATATCTTTGTGTGACTGTTGGCCTAAACATAACATCTGAAGACGTCACCTTGGACTATGTTTGTGTTATTTTACAGAGCCTATGATTGATCTACAGTAATCAATAGATAAATATGGCCCAGTCCTACTTTCCTTTGTTCTGATTAAGAGATAATATCAGAATAATGTCTGACACAATGTAAACTGTTGCACTGTAGTGAACTCAGTCAGTGAGGAAATCTGGTGCATTTCTCTCTCTGTGTGTACATGTGCGAGGTTTCCATTGTTGCACATTGGGGCCATTGAAAGGGGAAGTAATTGTGATGAAATCAGCTGTTTCAGCTCAAATTGACGGTGTTATTTTTGCTGTCGAGCAGCCAACGCCCTCAGTGAGCGACAGCAGACATTTATTACCACAAACAGGTGACGTTCTGACGCTTTTAGGTGGGACGATGGCGGTTACTCCGACTGAACTTTAGGTTTAAGACCCAATAATTTCTCCTTTTTGCGTTCAGTTTGCTTCAAAATAATCGTTCTGCGAGGAAACTGACCTTTCACCTTCTTACTGTCAGTCCGGTTGGTGATAGAGGAACTGAGCTTTTTTTCTAGCTGTTGGTCACTTTGGACTGGAGCGTCAGCTAAACTATAATTAGAGCAGCTCGGGGTGGGCGGGGGTTGACACTGTTGTGAATAAATAGGCTCACTGAGGAAGACGCTGTTGTTTCACAGCACTGGAGCAAACTACAAGTCCTGTTTGATACGAGCAACATTCAGTGTAGCTGCTCTGGAGGCAACAAAGTCCGTTTGGTCCCGACGTTAATATCTCAACTCCTGTCGGACGGATTGTGGAAACTTTGGTGATCCTCTGACATTTCACGTAGCACCATCAGCGGCTTATGATCAGGGTTGTTTAACATGATGTACGTAAGCATCAACTAACCAATCTCAACTAGCTAGTGGAGCTCACTGATTACTGTACAAACACAACTTTATCAGTGATTTGGGTGAAACTGGATCATATTTTATGGAGAGAATATTGTCTGGTTTTCCCTCTGACGTCTTCC